GCAGCCATCATTCTAGTGCCAAGTGTGCTGTCCCACGCTAGAAACCCAGCACTGGAAGACAGGCAGAAGGATCACAAGCTCAAAGCTAGCCGGGGCTGCACACTGAGAGCCTGTCTCAAAAAACAAAACAAAACAAAACAAACAAACAAACAAAAAACCTAACCATCAAAGAAGAACCAAAAGAGGGTGAGAGAGAGGACAGAGGGATTGTAGACCTGATGGAAAGGGTCAGAGTGGTAACAAAGAAAAGGGCATCCATTGTCCTAAGTAGCTCTCCAGACAGACCTGCCATTACAGATCACCAACAACACAAGTACTGGATAGTCCAAAAAGTTACCAGTTTGGGATGTGTCATAAAGTTACCAGTCTCTGATTTAGACCCACCCATTATGGAAGAGTTGAATCCAGTTTGATCTTAAGTGGCCGCTAACAATGAACAAAGACCTCTTCATTGAGGTGATGGCCAGTAGGTAAAGCAAGAGCCAGGTTCGACTTTCGATTAATTGAAAATTAAAAAAAAAAAAACTTTAAAAAGTAATCTGCTTTTTCCCGCTTTTAATTTTTCCAGGGTTATAAAGCAACAGTCCCCGAGGCAAATGAAAATTAAAACGACTCCTAGCCTGACATGATGTTACACACTTTAACCCCAGCATTAGGGAGGCAGAGGCAGGAAGAGGACAAGTTCAAGCCTCGCCTCAGCTACAAAATAAAGCCAATCAAGACTTACAGTAGCACTTGTTCCAAAATAAGGAAGGAGAAATTAAAAATAAGTCCAAAGCTTTATCTCATACTATTTTAAACATTAAAAACAAAACAAAACCAAAAAATGCTTCTAAGGCACATTTTAAGATGAACAAGAACCACAACAAAGGAAGTTTAAAAAAATTACATCCAGTCCTTTAATCTACAAAAACAAGGCTTGTTACAGAACAAACAAGTTGAACCGCCGCTGTGCAAGCCAGTTCACTGGGGCAGACACTAGAAAATGAAGTATACAAACGGTCTAGTCACTTTATATTTGACTTAGATAGCATCACCAAAGCACTGGAATTGTAGATTAAATTGCTACTAAGTTAAAATGTGGTGCATTGTTAACTTGAAAGAGAAAGCTTTAAACTCTTGGGCTGTTCTTTTCTCAAACACCCAATATCCTTTCTCTATGAGAAAAATCCAATGTCGTGGGGGAGCTATAAAAGAACTCTTAAACATCAACAGGCACCCTATCCACAGCCTGTTTCCCTGTCTGTCTGCAAGGGACAGACTTTGGCCCGCCAAGATAAGGAGTGCAGAGTCCCTAAGCGAATAGATGGCCCCGAGGGCAGCTGGCATCCGTGAAAATGGAAAGCCAGGGCATAGGAGTCACGTCAGGTGCTCCGTAAAGAAGGAGAAAATTTGGCGCAAAGCACCTGGTACCTGGGCAGAGACGCTCAGGAGGGGCAGATACTGAGGCCCCCCTTGACATAAAGTGAAAAGTCCGAGATGTCAGGGTTGTCCCACGTGCAACGGGGCGCTCCGCGCCCTGGGGACGCAGTTCTGGCAGCAGATGGGACAAGTCACCCCTTCTGCGCAGACCATCCCGAGTGTCCCCGCGGGTTTCAGGCGTAGACGACGCGGGGCAGAGAGGAACAGGCGTTGCAACGGGCCGAGGCCGGGGACACCGGAGCCTGGCGCTGCCTACTGGTCCGGACCCCAGGGAAGGGGCAGGAGTAAGACCCAGCAGGTCTATCCTACCGGCGCTCATCTCACCTGCTAGGTCTGCAGCCCGGGCTGCGAGGAGACGGACGCCGGTGCTCGCCGAGGGCCGAGCAGCGAGCACAACGCCGGCATCTCCCGCCCCCAGCCCTTTTCTCCCGGCGGCGTGGGCTAGCTGCAGCTGCCCAACCACGTTCCGAGAAAGGGAGGGGCGAGCCGCTGCGGCCCTGTCAGCTACCTTGGACCTCCGCGGTCCGGGGCCTCCTCCCCGCCTCCGCCCCGCCCTCAGGCCCCGCCCCCGGTCTGGAGGTCGGAGAAGCAGGTCTCCACCCTGCAGAGACCCCGCCCCTAAGCTCGCGGCACGGCTCCGCCCCGCCCTCGGCCCCGCCCCCGTCCTGGAGCCCCTCCGTACAAATCTCCACCCCGTCGCCAGGCCCCGCCCCCAAACCCAGGTGACACCGCTCCGCCCTGCTCCCCGGTTCCCGAGTCCCTCCCACACGGCCCCTTCCCCGCCCTCAGGCCTCGTCCAGAGTGAATACTTCCGGCTTCCCTCCTCCCACAAGATGGCCGCCCGGCTGGGGTTTGCCAGTGTTGCTCTCCTCCGCCTCCGCTCAGCATCTGGGAGGCCTGTCATCCTCTTGGTTAACCTCAGCCTCCAGTAATCCTGTCAATTCTCCTCTTGGTTAGTCTCGTCATAGAATATAAAAGCTAGGGCTTAAGTCTGTGAGTCCAACCCTGCCTTCTGCCTTTCCCCAAAGTAGCATGACCTTGACCTTCCTCAATCAAGAGATTAAAATGTAAGCTTCAGTTGTGTGATTGATTTAGAATAGGTAGTCAGCGACGACTGCTTCTATTTCTACTGTGGAGGGAACTCTGGGCATATTCTCTTAGTTTACTGAGAGGCATCTACTAGAATTCGTGGAAATCTCCCGAAGCTTCTTGAAGCCAGTGTATGAAGAGGCTCTGTTGAATACACTGAATAAACTGAAGAGGCTCTGTTGAATACACTTTCTGGAGCCCAAATTATTTCAAATTTAAAGCCTGATCACATTGTCCTTATAAGCATCTCTTTAAAAAATAATCTTGCTTTGCCAATTTAACTGTTTTGTCTGGCAACTACAGCGCCCCACAGTCTGTGCAATTTTAGTGCAAAAGTACAATACTGTACGGTTTACTAAGAAAAATCACAGTGAGCGTAAGAATATGAAACTTAAAAGAAGGTGAACAGAATTGAAACTATTTTTTTAATGCAGCCTACTCACCTCTTTTTTCATTTTTTGTCTTTTTCACTTTTAACCATGCATGAACCTAGCTACACACACAAAAAAAAAAAAAAAAAACCCTTCGGTTATCTCAAGGCTAAATTTCTGCTTAGAAAATATGAACATTAGTTAAGTATTTAATGAACTTTGACTGTTAGAGGACTACTAAAAGATAGGCCTAGAAAGGTAAGTTAGGGCCAACCTGTAGGAATTCCTCACCTTATCTGGGTTTTGAACCTTATCCTTTGACCACACAGTAAGACTGGTACATTTTCCCCACACAGGAACATGTCAGTGTGTTTCATGCTATATGATCTGGATGCTTTCCCAGGATAAGTTAAAAGATGAAAGGCAAGAAAAACAGTATGGTGACTTTGGGACTGGTCAAGACATAAGGAATAACCTACTCTGGGCTGGTGGCAGTAAAGGTTTGAGAGGTGTTTCAAAAGAACTGTGGCACTTGATTGCTGGTAGTGGCAAAGAAGCAGGTCTGTGAATACTAAGTCTTTCCTCATTCACTGAAATAAAGAGAAGGAATCAAAATAGAACATTTCTAATATATTTTCCAGCTCTAAAATTCTGCTATCTGGAGATGAAAGAAAGAACTATTTCAATGCATTTACAAAAGAGGAAGAAGTTACAGAGCGAATTTAGTTCAAGACCTAAAATCTGAATCCTTGAGACATTATCTGTAATGCTCTCGTTTCTTGAAGTTATCATTCTTTCCCTCTGAGGCCCTGGGAGTTTAGATATTCGGTTTAAAGAACCCCAGGCTTCAGATGCCACCCCTGGGTGAAAGAATAAAAAACACTTCATCGTCTTGTGAGCTGATAGTACTCAAGGAGGCATCAGCACACATAACTATGAATGTGCAAGAGTATGTTCACAATCCATTGTTTTTCATTTTATACATAAGTGCCTTCTTATAGTTTGCTCTCCCTTTTCTTCTTGTTCATTCAATCTGAATTAAAATTACACTTTGAAAATAAAACTTAAAAAAGAAGAAAATCTACAATAAGTCATAAGATACATATCTTGGTTATCAGGAAACGGTGCAGAAGACTCAATAATAACTCTTTTATTCAACTACTATTTGTTAAAACAGGTAAGCATGAAAATCCACCATGAACTAGAACAATGTAAGTGCATTAACATAGTGCAGTATATAAACTTAGAGAAGGCAAAGGCCTCTGTTTGATAATCTTTTTATCCTTAGAGCTTAGACCAATGCTTTCTGTGATATACGACAGGCATTCTACAAATGGGTTTTGAATGACTGAATAAATTACAATTGTCTACCTTGCCTACCAGCTAACCAGGAGGTTGAAATGTTCTATTCAATATGAGTTCTTTGCTATAAAGAACTGCCACGTAGCTAAACAATAACTGATTTCTTATTTCAATAACTGATTTCTTATTTTTCCCTGCTTTTCACCGGCTTAATTTTGTAGCCTAGTTTTAAGAGTCATCTAAATGGTTTACTTTTTTGTTGTAATACTGTGACTTAACTTAATTTCAGGTCATTTTAAGGCCCTGAAAATTATCTTTGCCTATGCTTACAGGTGTGTGTGCTTTGACAAGCACCGAAGAGGCTATTTTTCCCCTCTCCCTTTCAAGCTGGTACTGAAACACTCACACAAAAACAATGAGAGGAGGTGGAGCCTGATCATCTCACCTGACTATCGATCTTGTTATTGAGCACAGGTAAGGTTCAAATGTGAAAAAATAAGCAGGGGCCATTGTCTGGACCAGAATTTAAGAAGTCAAGCGTGAAAACAGAGTTGGGTTGTGAAATTACAAGTAAAATCAGTGAATTAGATAAGACAGGATGTAGAAACCATAAAATAGAACCTTGGGGGCACAGACAATCTGTTTCGAGATTTAGCTTCTCCATACTTGTGGTTTTCTTTTGACCACTTTATTTTGAAAGAACACAAAAAAGAAAGAAATGCACTTGTCTCCTCTTCCAGCCTGCACGGGGCTCATTGACTAATTAAATAGATAGTTCTAAAAGAATCTGTGAAGCATCTCTAAGTTTGGATGGTGTCCAAAATCAAACACTAAAACTAGCCAGCTTTGTATACTAGAAAGGGTCAGTGGAGGAAACTTTGGATTTTATCCTTTACTTTGGAGTAAGATTTTGAATATTTTTTTTGACAGCTTCTAGGTAGATCTGCTCAGTAAATAGCACAGGGAAGGAAGGAAGAAGGGAGGGATATTCCATACCCTCAATACCCTCATCTTATCTTACTCAAACCCTAGAATTATTCGCCTAAGCAAGAATGTTGCTGGGCCGTGATGGTGCATGTCTTTAATCCCAGCACTTGGAAGGCAAAGGCAAGCATATCTCTGTGACTTCAAGACCAGCCTGGTCTACAGAGTGAGTTCCAGGACAGTCAGGTCCATATAGAGAAGCCCTGTCTTGAAAAACAAATCAAACAAACAAAAATGTCAAGAATATATTTTAGGGTGTCCAGTCTCCTTTGCCAGAAGGGGAAGGCCCCGTTCTCTCTCAAGTGCATGGGTCCACATCTCTCTCACCGGGACAGTACTTGCCATACAATATTACTTGATAAATACTTGCTTGCATTCTTACTCATGGGATACAACCTAGACAAGACTGTGACTGTTCTATATTTAGAGTCATTTAAAAACGGAAACACCTGCTCTCTCATGGGCTGCCTTCTTACTGTAAATGAGAGTAACAGAGGGGGAATTGTCCAAACCTGACTCTCTGTTTGGCAGAAGAGTAACCAGATGTTTTCTGGAGCTCACAATAGCTAAAACAATAAATGGGAACTCATCACTGGCTGTGACACAGAAAATAGATGATGAACAAATCTGCTCTGGAACTCTCTTCTCTGGGTATGGCATGGCTGTCTCAAAATCAGAAGATATGATTACCCAAACCTTCACAACGTTGAGTTCAACATTCTCTGGTGGAAGGATTAGGGGGAAGGTCATTGACCCTCATCTGAGATCACAGTCATGCTCCTGCCCTGGACTTCACCCCAACCCCTAGTTGCGTATAATCTTATCCAGCTCTGACTTACAGTCAAAGAAAGGTGCTAGAGACTAGAGGTAGATTGTTAACGGAATTGGGGCATTTCATCTGTGTATGTTCTGGAAGTTCATCACCCATGGTGAGAATTGGGGATGATGCAAGTTAACTTATTTTCAAACCACAAGCAGAGATTTAAAAAAAAAAAAAAAGGAGGTCTCCTCTTTCCCTTTCTCTTCACCTATTCAACATGAGGTTTCTGAGCACAGAGAGAGCCGTCATGTTTCTATTCTATCTAGCATTCCTCTGCTCCTGTTAGAAGGGCAAAGTCAAGAAGGAGTATGTCTCCTAGTACAGAGTGCCTAGCCTGTGAGGAGACTGGAGAAGAGGAAGTTGTTATGGAGCTACTAGACACATCAAGGGGTAGAGCACATCATTGAAAATAATTACAAAACGGCGCAGGAGAAGTCTGGAAAGGGAAATAGAGCTTTATGCCAGCCTCACCGGAGCGCAGCTACCATAAGAAGCTCTGTAAACAGCCAGCTGGGGCAGGGTGTAGCTCATGCTCGCAGGGATGGCTTCCCACTCAAGCAACTCTCCTGCTGTTTCCTCCATACATCTCAGTCTTGATGAGCTTGCAGTCTTTCTACCATTGTTTCTCTTTCTCAGCGTTTTTTTCACGTCTCAGTACTGTGACCCACAAGGCTTGGATCCGGAACCCTGACAAGGGACATTAAGGGAATGAAGAAATTGTAGATACACAGGTCCACATTCAGAAAAGCTGGGGTCGGGTTGAGTGTGTGCACTCTGATAGAGAGAACCTACTGTGGCAAGCAAGCTGGAAACTTATGGTGTTTATTTCCAACAGCACGCATGGCTAGTCTCCATTGGAGGTGTCTGTAGACATGCAATCTCAGACTATAAACATCTGGCAGGGAGAAGCTGCAGTTGCATACACTGATCAATTATTCATAAACATTCATATTTGGTCTAGAAGAAGAAGGTTTTACCAATTTAGATCTTGACCCATATGGGGAAAGGCTTTGCCAATTCCCCACGGGCCCAAGACCTTGGTCCTCATTATGGCTAATGCCCATGTCTACAACACACTCAGGACTTCACTCCCTTGGGGCTTCCTTTGTTCCCTGTATGTCAGTTTTCTCATTTCTTTATAGTTGCATGCTGGTAGCAATTTGGTATAAAAGGTTACTCGTTCCTCACATGATTTGTTTGAAACAATTCTAGTGTGCTGGTTTAATCAACACCTAGAAAAGCCAAATTAATGAAGAGAAATAAGAGTGTAGTGGTGGTGGTGAGCAGTCATGAGGATTAAGGAGGATAATTAAACAGGACTCTTAATCACAGCCAGAAATCCAAAAATCTATCCTGCTGGTCCTCATCCAAGCCTTTGGACCAATATCACTTGTAGAACATAATTCCCCAAAAATGCAGATGCCAAGGCCCCAGGCAGACTTTCTAAATCAATGTCATTGACATTATGTCCAGATGTGCTATGTGTACACACATACATATTACACACACACATATATTTATATATAATGTACTTGAGCTTCTACAATATGGGTCTTGTGCTGATTCTAGAAATCACAAAATGCTCATGGGCAACAGGACTGTTTGTATAAGAAGAAGGCAGAAGATTTTCCTAGGGCATCAGACTCTGGGGGAGAAACCTTCTCATGACAAGCAGCAAGCACACTGAATTCGGCACCTTCCTTCAGAATTCCGTATCCGTGGCTGTTGCTACTTAGTTTTGGTTTTTCCTTTGTGTGGAAAAACAAAACAAAACAACTGCTTTCCCCAGGCCTTGTAGTCTAGAGTGCATCTTCCCTGTGGCGCCACTTCTAACGCCCGCTCAGGAAGTCCATGTTATAGGAGCAACTGGGTGAAGTAATGTTCTGATCCTTGGGGTGTACTGTGGGCGATGTAGCAAGAATTCAGTGCAATCACTTCGCCATCTCTTAAAGCGTTAGCTTTTAAGAAATAGTTATAATTTCTTTTATTTTTCCCCAGAGATTTTTTTTCTAAAATATGGCTCTTGACTAATCTTCTCCTTTGTGGCTTGTGATTTTGTTGTTTTATGTAAGAAATTCTTTCTGTATAAAGTCACAACAGCCTTTGCTTACATTTTTATCCCCTTAAAAGTTGTGCCTCTAAAAATTGTTACACCTGGTGCCATTGTTCAAATTCCCATCTGTCACTGGAGCTCCACTGGAGCCCCAAAGCTTAGAAAGTTCCTTCACACTCAGGGGCCACTTCAGGACTCCTGATACAATCAACATCAAAGTCCAGCAACAAAAAATCAAGTAATAGAAATGTACAAAGAGATTTAGAAATCTACAAAAGGTATTCAAGGAAGATAACAGCGTGGTATCAGCTACTGGAAATACAAGTTCTCTTAAAGTCAATATATTTTCTCCCATACTGGAGAGATAAGGCCAATAGCATGGCAGACCCAAAGGCTAGCAATCACTCTCACTAAGGGTAGGTGACTTACATGTTTGTCAAATGTCTCCTACAATGCTTGCCCTATTTAATGTCTGTCAGGGCCTTGAAGATGCCCTTGTACAAGTCACTCCACAGGTCCATTTTCGATCCAAAGAGAGAACAACTGCCACCCAGAAGGAAATCCTTGGATGAAATTCCTGGAAGGTGTTCCCATGGCTGAACCCTGTTCTGACATCTCACATCCACCTGCTCTCCCCAGTTTTGGGCTCAGATTTGGGGTTAGTTATTGGACTGGGGCTCTGGCTCTCAGAAAGCTTTGTGGTCTTTTTATCCCTGCCATCTTCTACCTTCCGCCACGGATGGCTTCAGATCCCCCGCTGTGCCCACCTGTTATTGACTTGGCTCACTTGTGCTTTGTGCTCCAACCCATCAGAACCAGAGGGCCTTGATTCCCTCTCAAGCTGGCAAAAAATCACCTGCCAGCTATAACTTTGCAGCTGCCGCCTTCTGAAGACCATCACAAACCCGCACAGCCAGGCTTAGAATACTCTCCAACCGTCCGACCCACAATCATCCTAGCAAAAGATCCGTCTCCCCAGAAGTGAAATCACCTGTTTTCAATATCAAGCCTAGCACTGATATTGAACCTGTTTTTCTCTTTCCTGGTGACTCTGGTACCTGAGTAGGCCCAAGTGATGATTTCCTGCCAGCACCTTCCCTTCTGCCTGCTATAAGAAGTGCGGCCCCATCCCTCCCAGAGGAAGCGGGCAGGAAGAGGCCTGAACTTGCGGTGGAAAGGGCTGCCTTGGCTGAAGGCAGAAGGCAGGTGGCTCTTTCGTGCCTCCCTAACCTGTGCTCTTTTCTCCAAGTCAGCTTCCTCAGTTAAAGCACAGACCAGTATATATTCCTGCCACTTCCGATCTGTCCACAGGGAACCAGCCCAGGGCTCCACTGCCCCCAGATCTTGGCTTCCACACTCCTGCCTGCCCCGCTCTGCACTCAGAACAGCATTCTGAACAGCAGCAGCGTTCTACCTTGGGGCAAGGTTTGTGATCTGAAAGCTCTTAGGTCGTCAAGAGCCCTCCAGTCACAGCGTCCTGGCCACAACAGAAGTGCCTCAAACAGCATCAAGAATTGTGTGGCTGGGGCAGGGGATGTCGCTCATTTGGTAGAGTTTTGGCCTCACGTACATGAAGCTCTGGGTTCCATCCTTAGGACTGCATTAATTGGGTGTAGTGGTGTACACCTTCAGCTTCATCAGCCAGGAGGCAAAGGTAGCAAGATTAGAAGTTCAAAGGTCATCATTGGCTACAGAGCAACCATAAGACCTTGTCTTAGGAAGGAAGGAAGGAAGGAAGGAAGGGAGGAAGGAAGGAAGGAGGGAGGGAGGGAGGGAGGAAAGGAAGGAAGGAAGAACGGATTGTAGGTCTGGAGTTTTCTTCCACTTTCTTCACCTCCCCAGGGGACTACTCAGTTTTCCTTCTTTTCAGGTAAACGTGAACCCAGCCAGTCTGAGTTGCGCTTCCCTGCAAGCCTCGTGAGTCCCTGCAGCCACAGTTTGCAGTTCCGTCCTGAGCAGACGGATGGCATTACTTAGGAGTGGCAAACTCAGTCTGGGGACCTCTTTAGTAGTTCTACACATCTTAGGCCAGGAGCTGGAACGTGCCCAGGACCCAGGTGAACGGGCCGTCTGTCTGCCTGGAAAACTTGTCAGCTCTAGTGGAGCATCCACTGAGGATTCCTGCATGGTGTATATCCTGTATATCTTGGCTTCAGGTAGCTCGTATATACTCTTCAGGACTGCTGGGGAGGGGAGCTAAAAATATCTTAAGGCATATTGTGTTTGCTTAATTTCTGTGGTTGACATGAAGGATTACAAAGACCGTGGTGACTTTAAACATATGCTCTTACTGTCTTTCTTACAGCTCTGCATGTTAGCGCCCCACATCTGGGTTAAAGTCAATGTCTGAGCAGGGCAGCGTTCTTCTGAAGGTTTTAGGGAAGCATTCCAGCCCAGGTTCTAGCCACCCACGTGTGGGAAGAGGCCTGTGACCCTCTTCCTCAATTTTCAAAACCAGCCAGGTTGTAGCTCTCTGGTCTTTCTTCCATGGAATGGTTGTGGTTTCGATGTTTTCTCCACTTTCAGTGATTAGGTTGGGTTCACCTGGGTCATCCCAAACACTCTCTCCATCTCAAGGCTCCGGATTTAATCACTCCTCTTCTTTGAGAACGCTCCGTTCTTCTGAGTCACTTTGTCGTGTCCATCACAAGCTCTGGAGACATCACACAAGCACAGTGGGCTCTGGCCTCGTAAGCTCTTTCCTGTCTCCACCTGTCTGTTTCTCCCACGACTTCTCTTCCTCTGATGAATCTAGTAAAGTTGATCATACTTCGGTTTATGTGTCTTTTTTTTTCACTCCTTAGGGTGGGACCTCCAACCTCCTTACTTAGTTGTTGAAAGGAATCAGACATCTCCAGCTGCCCTTTTATCAATGTCTCACCTCTCATTGCTTGGTGTTCAGAAGCTCAAAGCAGGACGTTAATTCAAGCTTACCGCCAGCCACATTTGTACTGCATAGCTTTTTCACACTTGAACATTTCTGGTCTTAATCTCTTTCTGTCCACAGTTTTTCATTATGACATTTGAGATACTCTAAACTTGTGAAACTCCATGTTATCTCCTGTTTCTTAACTTGAAATTAACAATACCTTATTGCCTAGCTGTGATAATTGAAAGTCACTAATCTACTATGTCTAACTGGGTATATGATAGAGACAGGCATGCAGGAAATGAGGGCCTCTCCATCATTTTGTCCCCACCGACCCCTGCATCCTGAGAAATGGCCTTCCTACACATCTGAATCTTCCTCACTTCTTCTGGAAACCATCTTTGGCTTTCCTCTCGCCGTCCCAGACTTCTTCCTGCCCACAGCTGCCTCTTCCTTCTTTGAGAGCCTCTCCCTTTCCATCTGCACTCCTCTTTCCAATCGTCCTCATCTTCCTCACCAGGGACATCAGAAGAACCTCAGCGAGTCTGTGTGAACTGTGGCCTCACTTCCAGCAGCTCCCACCCGTGTCCCCTGCAGGGTTGCCCTCTGGGATGCCCAGAAGTTTCATGTCCACAAACTGACTCAGTCGGTTCTACCATGGCCACTGAGAAGAGCGGTGCCCTCACTCTCCCTTTCTTGTTCTAATCCAGGACCTCCTCCACGCCGAGCGATCAGCCACACGTTCTCCCGAGGCATCCTCTCCTCACAGACATTTAGTCTTTCTCTTTTCAGTATCCTTCCAGTTTTACATGCTGTCTTCCAGGCCTGGTTACAGACATTGTGGTGAGCTATTCCACTTCATTCCTCCTAAGTGTGAGATCATCTGTTGGACTAGGATTGTATACACCTTCAAGTAAATATCTGTTTTGTCTGTAACATTTTGGGTTGACTCTTACCCAGATTTGCCTGTGGGTGGACTCAACTTCCCCATGCCCTGTTCCTTTGTTTCACTTTCAGTGTGGAAATGCTGGCCAGACAGCTGTAGGGAAGCCTCCCACTTGACATCTCCCTTTCTGATGATCCAGACCTTTGACATCCTCTCTTCCTACTGCCAGCCTTCTCGCTACAGACCTAATCAGTCTTCACCAAGTCCCCTGTCTGCTCATTCCATATTGTTCTTCAGCGACAGCTGAATATTTAATTTCAAACTCTAACAGAACTAAAAGTCCAGGGTCAGATAGGTGTTAGGGTTATATTTGTTTTCCTTTCCATTTTTTTGGCATGTATGTGTGCATGTATGTCCATGTGCATGTATAGTCTGCAGGTGATGTTAGGAATAATCCTCAATTACTCTTCTACCTCATTAATTAAAATAAGGTACCTCAGTTAAACCCAGAAATCACCAATGTGTCTAGTCTTGCGAGGCAGCTTGCTGCAGGGATCCCCTATCTGCAGAGGCTGGAATTACAGACAGGGCACCACAATCATCCAGTTGGGATCCAGACTCCAGGCCTCATACTTGTATGGTGACCACTTTAACCACTGAGGCAGCTCAGCCCCGAGGTTGTGTTTTAGTTTTGTTTCTGTTGTAGGTGTTTATTTATAATTCTAGGTTTTAATCTACCACGAAGGGGAAGTCAGGGCAGGAACTTGAAACAGCCAGTCACATCCAGCAGTCAAGAGCAGAGAGAGAATTAATGCATGAGTGCCTACTACTCAGCTCACTTTCTCCACTCATAATATTGTAGGACTGGAGTCTGGGGGATGGTGATGCCCACAGTGGACTGGGTTTCCCCACGCCAATCAACATGATCATGACAGGCCCCCACAGGCACAGCCACAGGCCAACCTGATCTGGCCAATCCCTCCCTAAGATCCTCTTCTCGGGTGATTCTAGACTGTGTCAAGTTGACAAAGCTAAACATCTTAGGGCTGGAGAGATGATTCCGTGGTTTGGAGCACTTGTTGCTCTCACAGAGGGCACGGGTTCGATTCTCGGCATCTACATGGCAGTTCACAACCAGCCTTACTTCAGTTCCAGAGCATCCACTGCCCTTGACCTTGGTGGACACCAGGCACAAACGTGGTACACGTAAATGCAAGCAAAACATTCACACACATAAAGTAAAATAAATAAATCAAAATAAAATGGCCATCTTATGTTGGTTTGAGTCATTAGCTCAAACAAACAAACAAAAATGTTAGCATTGCCATTTTCTGCTCTGCCTTCAGTCTTACAAGCTTCATGCTGAGCACGGCTCCTCTAGAAAAAATGAATCCAGAAATCCAAGTTCTGTAGCTGTACACCGTCTCTCAAAGGCAAGAGAGTATCCCGTTTGGTGGTTCTAGAAAGAAAAGTGAAGAAACCCCTTTCTCAGATGCTCCAGTGAACCTGGGACCTGAACCAGGCCGCATGCCTTCCCTGAATCGGTGTGTGCGCCTGAGAAATGCTGTGTCGTAGCCGACTGAGACCAGAATGCATGAGCAGTTGCTGCACCAAGAATCCGCGAACCTGATGACTCGGGCAGAGATGACTCCTGACCTGGGATGCTTCTCCTCCCTGTTCACATGAGAGAAGCGGGAATCAGACGTAAGCCTGGAACTCAGAAGGAGACAGAAAGGGGATGTGGAGCTGGGCTGAGGAGTCAGACAAAGCACACTGCCTGTCCACAGCTTCTTCATAAACCCTAACAAGACATTTACTGGGTTGTCTGACTTGCCTTGCCTCAGGTCCAAATTCAGTCTGCTCATATTCTTATAAAGTTTAAATGAAACAACTATCCTCATTCTAAGCGTATTATGTATTTCGTAATACATATTATGCTTCCGTGATACAATGAACAACTCAAGAATGTGCACGTCTGTAAAACTTTTTACATCCAGTGTGGTAGTATACACCTGTAATCCTAATCCTCCATGAGGCAGGAGGATTGCCATAGCTGAAAGTTTGGGTTTTTGGTTTTTTGTTTTTCAAGACAGGGTTTCTCAGTAGCTATGGATCCAGTTCTGGAACTCACTCTGTAGACCAGGCTGGCCTCGAACTCACAGAGATCCACCTGCTCTTCCTCCTGAGTGCTGGGATTAAAGGCATGCGCCACCACCACCCGGTTCCATAGCTAAAAGTTAGCCTAGGCTATATAGTGACTTATAGGGCTAGGGCTAGAGTGAGACTTTGTCTCAACGGAACAGAACAAAACCCTTAAACTTTCTGACCCATTCAGGAAATGTTTGCTGGCCTGTGTTTCATACCTTTAATCCCAGCATGCAGGAAGCAGAGGTAAGTGGATCCCTGTGCGTTCAAAGCTAGCCTGGGTTACACGGTAAGACCCTGTCTCAGAAGACGAACAAACAAACAACCCTGGACTTTGAAACCCTCTATCATCCATCCACATTGACTTTGCTGAGCTAACTTGATGGACATTTTCACTTTATGTTCATGCTATAATCCATTCAGATGAGTTAATTCATCTAAATATTGCTCTTCCTCATTCAGCTTTCTCTTTTATTCGGGCTCTCTTTATAAAACCTGGAGTGCAGCTCTCCAAACCCTGTGTATCTATCTCCAAAGACCCTCCTCCTGCTCGCAGAGACTTCCCCATGTTCACAGTGCTGGGTCTCCCTTTCCTACATTCATCCTCTATTGGTATTAGGAGGCACTGTGAGTCTGTGTTAGACGCACATGACAGCGGCTTCTCTGTTGAATGCAATGCTCCTGGCCCCAAGCACCTTTGTATAGAAGCGTGTGTGCACATGCATGTGTGTGTGTGTGTGTGTGTGTGTGTGTTGCTTTAGTAAAATTTTGAATAACAATGAACCAAGAGAGGGCTCATATCTAACACTTACTAGCCCTGTCAAACTCTGCCTCCCACATACCAAAACTACCCACTTCTCCACAGCTGCACCAAAAGCATCCCATCTCCGCTTCCTGCCATCTGGCCTAAGCACCCTGAACCTCACTGCCCCCCTTTGCCTGAAAAGTATCACCTGACATCATGTTCAAACCAGATAACATGTCTGCTCTCCTGCTTACCATCCTCCACTTGCACACAATAGCCCGCCTCTCCTTAAATCTCAAAGTGGTTCCTTCTCTTCTCAGTCTTCACTCTGGTCCTCTGAGTTTCCGCTGCCTGGTATGTTCTTCCCCCAGGCCATGAATGTCTCCTCATGACTCACAACTCATCTCTCTCCTCTTTGTTTTACCTCTTGCTCCAAACAGACTTCCCCACGCTCTGTGACTCTAGATCACATCACCCTCTTACGCTTTTCCAAAGACCCGATCTCAACCTCAATGCATCTCACTTGCCTCTTCCATGAGAGCAGGTACCTGGTCCACTGTGCTCACCTCTGTGTGTCCAGGTCCAAGGAGATCTCAACAGCCCTTTGTGGAATAAATGAATTAAATGATCCATAGTTACTTTTTTTGAAATAGAAAAACTTCCTGGTTTTGTAAAAGTACACTTAAGTATGATGGTTTGGATATAACTATATGTTGGAAGTGTGGTCCCTGGCATGGCAGTGGTGCTAGGTGAAGGAATCTTGCAAGCATGGGGCCAAATCACGAGGGCTTCATCCTCAGGAATGAATCAATGCCATCTTGCAGGAGTGGGACAGGGACTATGTAACTAGATAGCTCTTTGCAAAACATGGTGTTACAATGTGAGGCCATTCAACAAGTGGCTGAAGGAGCGGAAGGAGCCACAGCAAACAAGCTCGGCTCTTCCATATGTGGCCATTTCCTTTTTTATTTCTATCTCATGATGTGATGTAGTCTAGGGGGCGGGATGGGCTGGAACTGTCCTTACCAGATCCTCAGTCATGAGAATAGGGAGTCTCTAAATATTAAACTTCCAAGATTCAGGTATTTGGTTACAGCAACCTAAAATGTACTAAGATTCAAGTGCCTACTTCCATGGATTTATCAGTTAGGGCTTTACACAAAGAAACCTCTTAACAGTTGTATTAGTTATCAAGAATGACAACAATGAAAACCCATAGACTGGGTAGCTTAAATGATAAATATTCTCTTACCACTCAAGAGACAGGAAGTCTAAAACCAAAGAGTGTGTTGGTGGGGGTTAGTTACTTTGTAGACTCTCAGGGAAACAGTGACTCACCTTCCTCTTAGCTTCCAGTGGCTGCCAGCCATCCTCGGTACTCCTTAGCTTAAGATAACTTGCTCCGGTCTCCACTCTGCTTCACGTAGCCCGTTCCTCCAGGTGTCTCTGCGTGTGCTCTTGTCTCTTCCTAGACGTGCACAGGTTTGCTGTTCCCTTTGCTTGATTCGGTAAGAGCTCATTTTGAACCTGGACTGATTACATCTGCGGAAACTCTTTCCAAATGAGACCACACTGAAGTGCCGAGTCTTTTCAGGGTGTGTGTGTGATCACTCTAGCTCTGCAGCTTAGCACAGAAGCATGCAACCTACCCTTGGTGCGCCTGTGCCCAAAGCTGGTTTTAGGGTAACAGAACTCCCTGAACCTTTTTCAGTGGCTTTCAGTTCCCCTTCCCCTTTACAGGTAGACTTGATGTGTGTGAAAGTTGGTACTTCTCATCCTACAGTTAAGAAGTTGCATCTCACACAACCTAAGACAATGGACCTTTGGGGTTGTTTCTTTTTATAGATTTGTATTACTTTAAGCTTGGCAACCTTTCAAGAGATGCCTTTTATTTCCTAACAAATTCCCCATATTTGGGATCCTGTAAACCTGTGAATAAACAGAACTCACTGAAGTGGCTTAACCAGCATAAGAAAGGCCGGGCGAGGCAGTGTGGGGTCAGGGCAAATAGATCTTTCTTAAGCTATTTCAGAGGCATCTCTGTGGCCACACCCTTCATCTTGAAGAGAGGCACACAGGTTGGGGACCTGGGGCAACAGTGTCCAGACAGGATCCTGGAGATGCTCTTGCTGCCTGGAATTCATGTGTGTCCAACCTTGGACCCAGGATCCCATCTCTCCGATGCCTTCCTGGCTAGCACCAGTGAAGTTACCCAGAACCCACTTCTGTCGCCTGTATCCAAAGAAACTGATTTTCTCAAACCTAAAGTGTTTTCAGCCTTGTCGCCACTCTGCATATTTAGCTCCGAGTTCTGACACCCTGAGTTCATCATGACATGAGGTACACTTTCAGGTGTCAGTGCCACCCCGGGCCTACAAATGAACGCAATTACAAACCACATCGTCACAATTATTAATTTATTTAGGGATCATTTGTTCCCAAAGAATTTCATTGTGTCGAATCATCCTCCAATGCTACAGCAAGAAAAAGGACATTTAAAATAAGGGACAACCACCACAAAATGAAGACACAGGGAAAATAAGGCTAGAAAAGCGAGAAGAGCCACCGGAGCCTCTGAAGGCTCCACAACAGGTAGAGGCAAGATGCCACAACAGGGGCTGCAGGCTACACTTGTTGCCATGGTATCTGGCAACATTTTGTACTTTAAATAGGAACCATTTCCACCTGCATTTGTGTTAAAAGCTTACGATCTTGACATTAAAGGGGGACCATGAGATCATTAAGTAACTGGCCTAGTGAACTGAGTAAGAACTACACAAAAGAATGGTTTGCCTCCAGGCTTTGTTAGTGCTGAAAGGATGGGGAAGCTGGGAGGCATCTGCTCTTCCCCTTCCCTCCCCTTCTCCTCCTCTCCTCTCCCCCCTTCTTTTCTTTTTGTTAATAGTCCCAGAAATCCTTTCAGCTGCAATGCCTTATTTTAAATTAATGATAACTTATAACTTATCTTGCTTTGCACGGTAGATGGACATTGGAAACACATTTTGTAACTCATTTTTACAAATTGAAATATTACAAGTGGAGGGGGGCAGCCACTAAAAACACAACCACCCAGTAGTGAATCTCCTTATAAATCAAACATTATTTTCACTTTATTATTTTAGTGATGAAGGGCTTCCATATATTATAGAGATGTTAGTTTCCTCTTGCAGGTCTCATAAAGTGGAGCCCAGATTTTAAATGCAAACACGGCATACAGATCCCGCTCATACATAGTAACACGGTAAACACAATCATAAGATACTGATCTTCATTATTGTAATGATGATTTTCCCATTTTAATATTTATTGCATCCCCCCTCCCATTGAGCCTTTTCCAAAAGGGAGCTGAGGCAACTATTGAACACATCACAACTGCCATCTAGTGCTTTCTTTGAAAATGACATTTTCCCCCTTCAGAAAGTTGAACACTCCCAGACCAGAGAGGGGTTGAGCAGTCATTTTCTAAAAGCGGATCTGTTTGTTTCCCGTCAAAGAAGCTTTGGACCAGAGTGTACACGGGGTGTAACTTGAGTCCACTCAGCGCTCCCAGTTCTGTTGGGGTCTACGCAGGTGTAAAGAGCTACGTAGAGGATGTTGAAGGAAGAAGTCTGCAGGGTGTTTGGTGGGTGGAGGAAGATGTCGGTAGCGCTTTCAGAATTTCTTCCAGCCGGCGAGCTCCATCACTGTCTTGTGTGGGGGCTCCGCCTGGTTACCGCTCAGAAACAACTCAGCAGCACTAGGCGGTGCCTGCTGCAGGACGGGCACGGCGGTGGCAAAAAGGCTCACGAGCTTTAGTCTCTCTGCTATGAAGGGACCAGATAAATCTTCTTCCCAATCTTTGGACACATCCCCACCCTTCTGCAGATGCCTCCGGGGCTGTTGTCGGCTCTCGTACTCCCAGGAGAACAGCAGCAGCTGCTCCCTTGCCCTCTCCTACCACAGGCTGACTCTCAAGCCGCCTTCAGTTTTCTTTCCTTTTCCTGAAGAACCTGTGAGCTCTCAGGGCTCATCAGACGGTGGCTAGGGGTTTGAGTCTGACTCTCGGACTTCCACCACCACTCAAACTGTTCATCCCCGCTGGTCTCGGCCAGGACTCTCACCACACTCACCCCCCTTCCAAGGCTAAGCCTCACACTAGAGACAAGGGGCACCAAGCTTTCATTTCTGTCTTACTAGGGAGATTTCCTCCTTGTGTTGTTGTTGTTGTTGTTGTTTGGTTTGGTTTTTCGAGACTTGTTTCTCTGTGTAACATGCCCTGCTGTCCCGTAGAGGATGGTCTCAAACTCATAGAGATCCGCCTGCCTCTGCCTCCCGACTGCTAGAGTTAAAGACATGTGCCACCGCCACCCTGCTCCTTCTGGTGTTTTTTACATTTCGTTTTGGGTGGGGTTTTTTGTTTGTTCGTTTTTTTGTTTGTTTGGTTTTTTGTTTTCCTGTATCTTTGGGCCATTTTCTTTGATAACATCCCTGCCATTTTCCAGGCGTTTCTTTGAGTCATTCTGTCCCCGCCGTTCTTCCTCAGGCTTCCTTTCTTACCTAGGGTATCCCAGTTGCCACTAAGCTCCACTGGGGACTGTTTCCTCTCTCCACACATTAAATCAGACCAGAACTTCTTGCTTTGTGGGTTTGCTTAGCTGTTTCCTGGCCCACTTCTCTTCCCTCTTCTGAGTTTTCTTTCATTTTGCTGCACAATACTTTCAAACAACTTCCCCAAATGGGCATGCAACCGAAGCCCTTTATCCACCGACTGTTCTGGCTTACCAGCAGGCTATTCAACAGTGGAGGACTTCAACCCTCGGCTCTGGTACACTCCTTGTGGCCGTCAAACTGTCTTTTCAGAAGACAGGAGACGATTTCTATTTTACCAAGTCAAAGCCAAACACTCCATTTTCCTGTTTCTAAAATTAAGCCCCACCCCCAACATTCTATTTTTAATGTTAATGAATGACATTTCAGAACCTGGCTCTGAAAATACAGAACTTCACTATTTTATTAAAGTCTAATAGAGAGGCGGAGGAGGTGGAGTTCCCTCTCCACAGAATGTGCAAAGGGAGAGAGCTCCTTCTGCATCTTTAGACTTAGAAAAGCATCCAGTGAAATAGGCGTGCTGGCTCACTCCCACCCCCCCACACACTGGCCTTATTTCCCCCGTATTAGGAAGTCTTATGCAAATATTCACAGCTAATACCAGCTCCTTCTAGTCTGTGTGTCCACCACTGAGATGAACACCTGAGTGTTGTAGAAATTACTTAAACTATGTAAAAATGTGTTACATTTATTTATTTATGCTGAATTTAACAACATAAGGATGTATGTTTCATTATTTAAAGCTGTGTTGCATTTGTTTTGCCTTGCCTGCCTAAAGCACCTGATTGGGCTAATAAAAAGCTGACCGCCAAGGGATAGGCAGGGTTGGTAGGCAGAGAGAATAAGTAGGAGAAAAAAAAAGAGAATGAGAGAGAAGAAGGAGGAGAGAATGAGGGAGAAAGAGAGGGACATGCCTGGGGCCAGAAGCCACCAGCCAGCCATACACGAGGATCAGTGAAAATAAGATATACAGAAGGAAAGAAAGGTAAAAAGCCCCAAGGCAAAACGGAGATGAAGAAGAATAGGTTATAAGAGCAAGAAAGTACCAAGCCTAAGCTAAGGCTGAGTATTCATATTCATAATTAATAATAAGTCTGTGTCATGATTTGGGAGCCAGTTGGTAACCCAAAAGAAAAAGCCTGGTACAAAGGAGGCTCTTGGACTATGGCAGTTTTAGAAACTGTTGAGGTGGCGTGCAAGCGCAACCCTTAGTGACTCCTGCAACTCTGATTTAAGGTTGCTGATTTGTTGCCTGGCAGTAATGTTGGAGCTACCTCTTATGTTTCCAAGAGACATCAACAGGGCGGTATTGAGCAGTCCCATCAGAACAGGATCTTGGTTCTCTCTCCTTTCATTTGTAATGAACAAAGGTCTAAGAGTCCTTGGCATAACAAAGTCCTTCAGAACCCTGTGTTATTTATGTTTCCACACAGGTACATGGTTGCCTCATCACCACGGACCACAGTAACAGCTTCTTTTGTATGACAAGCTTTCCCTGGGGGGAAGCTACACACATCCCACAGCGTGGGTACCGCCAAAGTCCAACTTTGTGAACCATGTCTTTTACTGTGTTATTTACAGGGGCAGAAAAGACACAAAGACAGCTACATCACTAAGACCCACCCCAGCATGGTGACAGCTCACAAAACCTGGGACCCTGGAGCACAGTGCACAGCCTTCAGGCAGCTCAACAGAGTGGAAAGAGAGAACCAACTCCCCAAAATGTCCTCTTAACTCCACATGTGCATTCTCTCTCTCTCTCTCTCTCTCTCTCTCTCTCTCTCTCTCTCTCTCTCTGTAGTTTGTTTGTTTGAGACAGAATGTTAGGATGTAGCCTTAACTAGCCTGAAACTCACTGTGTAGTTGACTCAGCCTCAAATTTAGAGATCCATTTGCTTCAACTTTCTGAGTGCTGGGATTAAAGGCACAGTTGACTCCCTTGTCTGCTCTGTACATTCCAGACTAGCTGTTCAACAAGCTTTTGGCAAAATTTCCTGTCTGCATCTCCCATCTTGCCATAGGAGAGCTGGATTACAGATCAGTCTTTATATGCAGATGTGGGAGACTGAACTGTGGGTTTGAGAGACTGAACTCAAGCTTAAGGGCAAGTACTTCACTTACTGAACCACCTCTTGTGGCTCAGATTGGTTTGAACTCATGATCCTCCTGCCTCTCCCTACTGTGGGATATTTGTACACTGTGTAAAAGTGTACTGCTGTGATTGGTGTACTAAAAAACTGTATGGCCAATAGCTAGGCAGGAGGTACAGGCGGGACTTCTGGGCAAAGAGAGGAAGTAGGAGGAGGAATCTAGGCCTGCAAAAGAGATGAGAGGAGACACTGAGGAAGCAGGATGGGTGGTATGTGGCAGAGCATAGACAAATAGAAATGGGTTAATTTAAGTTATAAGAGCTAGTTAAAAATAAGGTCAAACTTTCATCGTTAATAAATCTCCATGTCATTATTTGGGAGCTGGTGGCCCAAAGAAAAAACTGACTACATTTTCCCTTTGACTGCTAGAATTACATGTACCACTATGTGTAGGTATGTGTAGATATGTACCATTGCATTCAGTATACGCTCTTGATTTTCCTATCTTGGTGACTTGTGACTGGTTTTATCGTTTGGAAATAGCCAACTTTCCTTTGGACATTTTAGGTGTCTATTTAATTAGCAGCATATGTCTAGGCCCTTTTAAACTCAAATTAGGGAACTTAATTCATTGCATTTTTTTTACCGAGTATGTTTAAATATATTTCTATTGATACATTTTTTCCATTCAGTTTTCTTTTGTTTCTTTTTCTTTTTTCCTTTTTTTAAAAAATTGATAAGTTTGAGTTTGTTCCCTTTGTTTTCCATCAGGGGTTAGATTTCGTTTATTTATTTGTTTATTTATTTATGGGGGGTTAGATTCTTAAGTTTCAGTAGGATATGTCAAAGGACCTTTCAATCCAATTTTTTTTTTCTTTCAGGGAGATGTTTTTGTCTGGTAAAGTGCTTGCTAGTATACACAAAGCCCTAGACTGGATTCCCAGCACTGTATAAACCAGCTGTGGTGGCTCCTCCTCTGTAATCTAGCACTAGGAAAGGGGGGAGGGAGACTCAGGAGACTCAGAAATTCAAGGTCATTTTTAGTTACATAGTGACTTTGAGGTCAGTCTGGAATACTTAAAACCCTGTCTCAAAGAAATAAGTCAATAAAATAAGGTGAAATGCATTATTTCTTCGACTCCAGGAAGTTTTATCTAAAGCCTTTAACGCTCTGTGAGTTCTTTCTTGAGCTGCTAGGAGATACATGTTTATCTGGGTTAATTCTCCATTTCACTTGAGGTTTTCTTACATTTCCCATTTGCTTTTCCTTTCTTTTAAGTTTTGTGAGTTTCTTGTCTTTATTTTTTCCGATCACCAATTGAGCTTTCAGTAGTGTAAGATCTATTCTTCATTCATTCATTCAACAAATATCTAGTGAGCTTCTAGTGACAGGCCAGATATAATTTCAAGTATGGGTGTAATGGTCTGTCCTGTCCCTTTAACAGACAAGCCCTGCCCACTCCCTCTTCTGTCCTCTGAGACAAGGGGGATGCCTTCTGCTTCCAGCCTGAACCCCTTCCTTTCCATAACCCACTAAATAAATATCCAGTGTCACTCTGCATGGCAGGCCTAGCTGTCTCTGTCTCTCCCCCACCATGGCTTGTTGAACTGGCTGACCCACCAAGGTCTCTCACCAACTGTGTGGCTCACTGCCTGGTGTCACCACCCACCTCTCGTAGCCTGCTGCCTGCTGCCCCTCAGGAATTGGCACCATTTTATTTTTACCATTACAATGGGTATTTGATGGTGAACAAAGTTTTCTTATTGGGGTTTTATTTTCTAAAAGATTCCCTTGCCACCCCTTCCATCCTTCCTCCCCAGGGCCTCACTTGCTATGCGATTGCTCTCTCACCGAGCTACAGAACTTTCTTATGACCTATGTATTTTTGAATGTGGACAAAATATGTTTAGAACACCTGGATTTTTTGTTATTGTTAAGGTAAGGTTTTTGTTTTGATTCTTTTTTTTTCTACCAAGTCAGGTTGTCTGTTCCACGATGCTTATGGAGCTGCTTTTGGGTTTTGGTCCCCTACACACACACACACACACACACACACACACACACACACACACACAGAGTATCTAGTAATCCTGACTACAAATGAAGAGCTAGATTTGCAAATAAAGACAGGCTGAAGACTGGAGATCAGTGTCAGAGACTTTCTATCTCGTGTGGGTGTGTACCTGATGACCTATCTGTAAGCAGGTTTCCAGTAGAGGGTGTCTGGGGATGCCCACAGGAAGGATTCATGTACAGATAAATAGGTGTAGAACAAACAAAATTCTCAGTAATAAGCAACAGAAACTGATTCCTGCTAGTTTATGCAGACAATTTGTTGGCAGGTTTGGGTTGGTCACCAAATTGACTGGAAGGTTGAGAATCAGGCTTGGAAAACCATTAAGAAGAGTGGTTCCCAGCCTTGCTAATGCTGAAACCCTTTAATCCAGTTCTTCATGTTGTGGTGACTCCTAACCATAAAATTATTTCATTGCTACTTCATAACTCTAATTTTGCTACTGTTATGAAATGTAAATATCTGACATGTGAACCCCAAAGAGGTCGAAACACACAGGTTGAGAACCACTGAACAAGAGCCAAAGAAACCACAGTCAAGGTTGCTGTACAGAAACAGTCACCAAGCCAGGATGTGAGGGCACCAGTCTGGCACCCGCCACCACATAAACTGGGCGAGATAATGCCCCTAAGCCCATAAGCCTATAAGGACATTCCTATGCTTGGTAAAGGGATTTTGAAGATGTGACTGTTGAAGAATTTAAGACGAAGAGAGTATCCGTGGTTATGCAAGTACAGAGGACTTCCCCAGCTGACCAGGGAGAGAGACCGCGCTGCTGGGTTTGGGACAAGAAAAGGAGAAGTGGCAGACGGAAAAATCTCCTCGAAACTTCAGGGAAGAATGCTCCTTCTGACGCCGATTCTAGCCTCCCGGGCTTGTGTCATACTTTTGACCATATGACTATAAGAAAACAAATTGTGTTGTTGAAAGCCCCTACACTCGTCCCTGTAGCGACAGGTAATGAACGTTGGCGCATCTGTGGGCTTCCCTTGCCGGGATGCTGAGGAGCCCACCGCGCATGCCCTTCCTTGCGGACTACCCTTGGCTTCTCCAAATATTCCTTCCTATGTTTTGCCTCCCAAGGCCTCTTCCCCTGCCCAGACTTCATCTATCTATTTTAGGAGATCATGGACGCGAACTTCTCATACTAACACTCTACTGGCCGAACCAGACCTTCTTCAGGGTCACTAGAAGTACTTTTCTGAGTTTGGATCCACCTGGATCTGTTTTTATTTCCCATTAGCTTAATCTTTTTTTCCCTTTTATTTTACTTTTAAAGACAGAGTCTCATTGTGTAGTTCAAGGTGGCTTCAAACTCATAATCCTGCCTCAGCCTCCTGAGTGCTGGGGTTAGGGTAATCATTCATTAGACACATTTTTGTCTGTTGAGCCTCCGATGTGGGTTTCTTTTCCTCCACTGTTGCTGATGTTGGCTGCATTTAACTTTTATCTACCAGATACTTTAAATTTTCCTGGGAGCAGCACTCTTTCCTGTTCCCCAGTGCTGAGATTCAAAACCAACTCTTTCCCCCATATCACTATTTAAAAAACAAAAACAAAACAAAAACAAAACAAACAAAAACAAACAAACAAAAAAACAACAACTGAGGACTGAGGACGGAAGGGGACACAATCTTGGTTCACTATCTTGAGGCAACTGTTTGATATTCAAACTGGTTGTTCTCATACAGATGTGAAGGAACAAACCATTGCCACCAGAGTGGACCTTGTGAGCTGGTCTCAGTCAATCGGCTAGCACTGGGGCAACCAAAGGAAGCAGAGGTTTGGGAGGATCTGAGTTCTCCTTTGGGAAGGCTTTGTGTGTATATGTGAGGGTTGTATGCATGTCTTCCTGTGCATGTGTGTAGGAGGCCAGGGGTTGATATACAATACCGTTCTCCACATCAGTTGACTGGTGCTGAGCAAACCCCAGGGATCCTCCTGTCTCCACATCTCCAGTGCTGGGATTACAGGTACAAACCACCATACTTGGCTCTTACATGGATCTGGGGCCTCTAAACTCAGGTCCACATGCTTATGTGACAAGCATTTTGCCAACTGAACCACCTCTCTAGTACCAGCGAAGCCTTTCAATAGGAAAAGACAAGATGGATTTGAGTTCAAATCCTGATTTTTGCCTATTGTCAACTATGTACGCTTGGTCTCTGAGCTTCAGTTTCTCCACCTGTGGGATGGGGGGTGACATCTTCTATCAGGTCACCTGCAAGGATGACAGAGTTAATACCAGCACGTGCCGCACCAGCTTGACATATATTGCTCTTGGAGAGCACTTACACGGATTCATTTTGTTTAATCCTCATCATTAATCCTATTTACACAGCTCAAGAAACTGAGGAGGTGGGAGCTGACGTAAGCTGCTTAGCTTTAGGGCTGTTAGTGACAGGAACTTGGACCCCAGGAGCCTGGCTCTGTCCTTTCTGCCAACTACCACCATGTTGCCGGCTCCTCTCCCTGTGCAGGAACCCTCTCCTGCTAAGCGTGCTCCTCCAACCCTTTGCCCATGCAGTTTTTGCAGGGCATTGCCAGATTCATCTTCAGAGTTGAAATGAAACTGAAGCAGCAGAGGGGGATAAGTGGCCCCAGGAGTGGGCAAGCTGGAGCCAGCAGGTCTATTGCTATTTAGAGACAGTGTTTGGTCATTGTTTTGCTTTCTTTTACAATATGTTTGCTTTAGCAAAGGTAGCATTTCCATAATACTAAGGCGTACAGATCCTAAGTGTGGGGGAGCTCAATGGGTTCTTACACATGTGTGCACCTGTGCGATTGTCCCTATAATGAAGTTTACATTTTTCTTTTTTTATGATTTATTTTTATTTTATGTGCATTTGCATTTTGCCTTCCTATGTATCTGTGTGATGGTGTCAGATCCTCCTTTGTGAGCTGCCATGTGCGTGCTGAGAATTGAGCCCAGGTCCTCTGGAAGAGCAGCCAAGGCCGTGCTCTTAACAGCTGAGCCATCTCTCCAGTCCTGCTTTTTCTTCTTTTAAGAGCCTCCAGTCATTCTCCCTTCCCAGTTAAAAAAATTTTTTTTTCATTGCACATCCTTGCTTTTAAAATTAAGTCAGGGATTTGGCACGGTGGCCATGCCTACAACCCCAGCATTGGGAGGCTGTGGAGGAAGGACCGAAGTTCAAGGCCAAGATTCTTGACTCAACAAATCCAAAGCAAACACCAACCCAGGACACACCAGAGTGGACCCTGCCAGCTCAGAGGGGAGCTCACCTGGGTAGTAACTGCCTGCTTTCTCAGGTGCAGTCCGAACATGCTCCCCAGGTGGGCTGCGCACCCTTGAGCCCAAGTCATCCTCCTGCCTCAGCTGTGACTACAAGCCTGTAGTGTGAGACTTGTCTTAGGCCTTTCGAAAGCAACTCAGGGAACAGGCCTTGGATGGTTCAAACCGGTTGAAACCACAGAGCAGAGCGCATTCTGTGGGTAACATTCTGATGTCAGAGGGGCAAGAATACGCTGGTCAATCACGTTAATGCTGCAGTTTTCTGAAGTGGAGAGCCGCATTGTTTATGCTGGCAGACCACCGGTTATATCACCTCACCTCTAATTACCCTTTCTCACACCTCAGACCACTTTGTTTACTCCGTCCCATAAACAACCCCAGACTGTCGGGGAAGGGATTCAGGTCTCGGACTTGTATCTCCTTAAGCGAGGCTGCCTCGTAAATTTAAAAATGTCCCTCTTTTTGCTGACAAGTCCAGGATGGGATGTTCCCAGGTAGTCACCTAAGGATACCTGGTCTGAGGTATCCATAGTCATGAGATAAAACTTCCTCTTAAGGCTTCCTTGGGCCTGCTCCCACTCAATACCCAGGCAAAGATAACTTTTCTATTAACCTTGTAGGTGAATTTAGGTTTTTTTTATTTTTAAAATGGTGATTTTATTTTATGTGCATTTTGACTGCGTGTATATATGTGTACTATTGAGTGCTCGGTGCCCTGAGAGGCCAGAAGAGGGCATAAATCCCCTGGAATTACCATTACAGATGGCTGTGAACCATCATGTGAGTGCTGGGAATTAAACCCAGGTCCTCGGCAAGAGCAAGTTCTCTCAATTGCTGAGCTACCCTCCAGCCCTGGGTTTAGTTTGTTTTCAGACTTTCTGTAAGTGGAACAGAGTTTATACTGCTTCCTGTTTGGTTTCTTTCATTCATCCGGGCTTGCTTTGTTTTCTTATTTACAAGGCTCAACAGGCCAGCAATGTGTTACAGATGACCAAACCCTGGAATAGAGCGCTAAGACCCCCTAGTGTTGATCCCAAAGGCACTGGATTCAAGTGCCTCTTGGCCATCGGTGATAGATGGAGACAAGGAGAAAAACCAGACTGGGCAGGGCTGTCATCTGCTTGACACCCCCAGAAGTTCTGGGGACTCCCAGGCCCCGGGGAAAGCAGTCATGGGGAACATTACAGGTGTGTGGGGATTGGGTGTACCCTTTGTCTTGCTGTGGCTCCCATGAGTCAGATTGTAAGCTGGGATGACCACTGGGCTCCAGCCGAGCAAGGGTGGCTCTTTCCTCAGCCCTGTGCAGCTGTGGAGAAGGGAACACGCCTAGGTTGTCTTACACGCTGGGTGCAGGAAGTCCGTGCCTCCCTGAACACTTGGGAATCCCTTTTCTGGGGTGTGTCTGTTTTTTGCCCACCCCTCATTGGAAGTATTGTAGTTGACTGCTGTATCGTCCTTCTTAGGATTTTTTGTTTGTTTGTTTTTGAGAAGATCCAAGAACTTTTACAATTCCTAGTTCAGGCTTTTCCAAGATAGGTCTCGGAGCACAGACACACTTGAAACCTTTCTAAGCACAGGAAGGGGCTAAGGCTTCTTCCCAGTAAGAAAAAGAAGAGAGAAATCACATTTTCTTTCTATCAGTAAGTGTCCCATAGAATAAAAGCAGGGACACTGGTTACTGCCCCTGTCCCACACACTGGAGCCCACTGCTCACTCTATGACATCACCCTAGGGAAACCACAAGGAATCAAAGAATCGTTTCTCTAGCCAGGTCAGCCCAGACCTGCTACCAACATTATGGTAGACGAAGCAAGCTATTTGCCACGCTTCGAATCCTAACTGTGTTTCCTGTTTTCGATTCTCCTGCACTGGAGGCCTCCCCTGCTTCTGTAGACCAGCAAACACCTGACCCGGACAGGGGTCCGGGAAGAGAGGCGGGATGGCCTCTGTCAGGTGCGGCTCCTGTGGAGTCTGACGTGCTCACCTTCTCGGTGGTGCTATTTAGCGAGTTCCCTTGTTTCCTATGCTGCCTCTAGGCTGGGCTTTGAAAGATCTAGAAGTTTCATCTGATTGGGGAGGGGGTGGGGCTTGGCAAGTGTCCTTCACAGGTGACATGTTGGGCTTTCACACGAAAGCAAATGACGTTTGCATACTTCTCTTGTCTGATGTTTGTTGCAGCTAATTAGCATCATACATTCTTTCTTTCCTGATGACCACCTTCAGTCTGATCACAGAATTACAGCCCCCTCCCCAGTCCGCCTTTCCTCACACACCTTCTTGTATTGTAACAGGAGAAAATGGTTCCTGAGTTAATAAGCTCATTTTCCAGATGCTTCTCATCAGTAAGAAGATGTAATAAGTAAGTAAGATGCTCTCATCAGTAAGAAGGCCTTTTTACCATTTCATTATCTAAGTAGAATTTGTCTAAGTTCCTACTCCAGGTAGATGTTGTTAGTTGTGTTTATTTAACTACTCCCTGCTCCCTTCACACACTTTTTTTTCCCTGAAAAATCCCATTTCCCAGGATGGTCCCCCAGTTCTCGCTCTTTGAAGCGCTGATGGTTTCCAAAAAGCCACCCCTGTTCTTATGGGGAGTACACAAATCTTGTCCATGTAGTGTAGATGCTCTGTGGGGAAAATCTGGGGGTGCGGCAGCCATCTTGACCATAGTGGGCAAACTGGAGGATGGAAATTAATGTGTCAGGACGGTGATGTGAAAAGATAGAATTATTAACTAAGATTGTTAAAACTTGGTGGTAGAGATGGCACATACCTTTAACCCCAGAGCTACAGAGACAGGGGCAGGGGCCGGTGGATCTCTGAATTCAAGATCAGCCTGGTCTACAGAGTGAGTTCCGAGACAATCAAGGGTACACAGAGAAACCCTGTCTCAAACAAACAAAAACCCTCAAACAACAAACAAACAAATAAAAATGCAAACTAAGATTGTTCAGACTTCTGGACCCAAGTTCCCTTTGTGAAAAAATAGTCTCCAAATTGCAAATTGCTTTTACAAGATTACCAGGCAGCACCAGACTGCAAACACCCCTTTGTATTGAGGAATATTATAAGTTTAATCCAATTTTAGGTAATCACCTGTGGACACAACCAAATCAACAAACACGTGAGGGATATTCAAATCTCTCTCTCTTTGATTTTCGAGACAGAGTTTCTCTGTGTATCCCTAATGTCCTGGAACTCACTCTGGCGACCAGACTTGAACTCAGAGACCTGCCTGCCTCTGCCTCCCGAATGCAGGAATTAAAGGTGTGTGCCACACTGCCTATCTCAAATACGTCTCTTTAGTGTTGAACCTTAGTAAAACCTAAGCACTTGAAGAGAAAGTCCATGGATATTTCTTTGGAGTTTCTGAGTCACTGAGTGAGAGAGTATTTGTCTAACTTGCCCAAGGCCGTGGGTTCAGTCACCAGTTCTGCAAAAAGAAGCAAGCAGGCTGGGGAGATGGTACAGTGGATCTGTACAGATGTACAGATGGTACAGTTGTGTAGACTTGCTGTCTACACAAGCAAGAAGACTGTAGTTTAGAATCCACATAAATGCTGTGCGGGTGTAAGCCACGTAAATGCTCCCTCCAGTAATTCCAGACTTAGAAGGTGGAGACCATATCCCCAGAGCAAGCTGGCAAGTGAGACTGGTCATACTGGTGAGCTCTAGGTTTGGTTGAGAGGCCCTTCCTCAAAGAATAAGATGGAAGAGTAATCAAGAAAGATTCTTAATATCAACTGTAGGCCTCCACATGTATGTGCATGTACTGTTGCATGCACATTGCACATGCACATTGAAAGAACATGCACATAGAGTAACCACATGGATGCGTACCCCTACACATGGGGAAAAAAAGCAAGCTTCCTATTATAATATAATCTAAAATGTTGAATTATCAAAATTAACCTTGTGATGCTTATATTAATAAAATCAGCTTTGAGTGAAATACAGATTTCAAAATACAGAGGAACTTAAGTAAAGATGGCAGCTTAACATCACTTATCTATGTTAGGCAATAAATATTAGAATCAAAATATTTTCAAGGATTATTCTCCAAGTACATCACAGAGCTGATTTTGAGTGTTGGTGAGAATGGGAAAACTCTGTCCAGTTGCATTCGGCTGGACAAATGTTCTTGTTAAGTAGGTGAACTGGAATTTCTGAATCTCCTTTGTAATGAAGCAGACTGAGTTTTAAACAGAATGCTCAAGAGTCACTGAGAAATGAAGACTTAATTAGAAAGTACATGGTGTGGGATTTGCATGCAACTCAGTGATAGAGTACTTGGATGCACCTACGTGTGCCTGTGCATGTATGAGTATGTGTTTTGTATCTGTGTTTGTGTGTGTGTGTGTGTGTGTGTGTGTGTATCTGTTTGTGTGTGTGCGGTATATGTGTGTGGTGTGTATGTGGTGTGTGTGTATCTGTTTGTGTGTGTGTGTGGTGTATGTGTATGGTGTGTATGTGGTGTGTGTATCTGTGTGTGTGTGTGTGGTATGATGTTTGGACTCTAAAAGCAGCCATAGAGTCAAAAACGTCAGCTGATGATCTGCCTGTTCTTGCTCTGGTTTCTAGAGTTTTGCCTTCCTGAGCTGAGCTGTCTGGAAGCAAAGCTTCATTGTACTGTGGTCAGTAGATTACACCTCTGTCCCTGCAGATAGCAAGCCGATGACAGCACTGGTTCCAGGAAACCCGAGGCAACAAACCCTCTTTGTGTTGGGCGAGGAAGCACTGGCTCATAAACGGATGACATCAGTGAGGCCCCCACCCACCCCATTGCTCCTTCACAAAGATCCATTGTTCGTGACTTTCACTCTGAACACTTACTGGCTCTTGCTGCCTTCATTCACTGTGAAGATGGTGACCATAAACCCCAGATATCGAACGATCTGCCCTATTGCCAAACTGTGGGTCAACCCATCTGCCCTGGAGTCTCATTAGAAAAGTCTGATCAGTCTGACTATAGTACTGAGACTCCCAACTTCTCTAGTCCCTTGGAGGGTTCCCCCACATGCTCATCGTTTTGGAAATCTCTGCAGGAGGAAACTGTCTCCTGAGTCCTGCAGGCAAAGTTCCCCTGTGTCTTCAGTAGAAAGACCTCCTCTTCAGGGTTCCTGCTGAGAAAGGGTTTCAACTTAGTCAATATTAGATATTAAAATTAGACAAAGTAAGCGAGGAGTCAAACGCCTTATGAAAAGCTACCATATCAGAGTTCTGAATGAAAGATATGTCCGTGGTCATAATGCAGGTTAAAACCTTTACAAATGCATAGAGTGGTGTAATCACGCAGATGAATTATGCTTGTCTTGGGAAAGCCATTGAAGAGAAGGCGGCAGGTTAGGTTCAGCCTGGGAGAACAGAGAAACAGGAAGAGTAACTTCAGAGCCCACTGGGGCAGCTTGCTCTCTGCCAGTGGTGAGCCCACTGTTACTGTGGCTCTGAGGCCAAACGTGGACAATGTGCCAGCATCACCGGTGTTTTCTAATGCCGCTAAGTGCAGGTAGGTGTGTAGGGGCACCATGGCGGTCAGGCGGTCCTTGCGGACCCGTTTTGGCAGATGGCACATGATCAGTGCGTTTGCACCGTCTCTAGCCCAGCGGAAAGCATGTCCTCAATGCCAGGAAGAGTGTTTGTCTTTGAGGATTATTTTCATGAGGACAGGGCTTTGATTTTTCTGATTGTTTTCTTTTCTAACCTTGTAGGAATGGTGTGAGGTGGAGAACTGACGAGAGAGCAGACAGACCTTGGTGTAAGGGATTTGACCATGACTTGGACCAGCTGAATAAATACCGTATATTTATCTGGCTCTCTGGGTCTTACCCAAGCCTTTTTACAGCTACCAGGTGTGTTACAGGCATGGTTTTCTATGAAGCAGTCAAACTATAAACAAGGAATCCTTACAGATAATAACATCTTTAAAAAAGAAAAGGAAAGAAAGACAGAAAGTTGAAGAAAAACAGAATCATCAATTTCCAACAGAAATGCCAGTTGTTTTCAAACTCACAGGGCCATGGATGCAGGAACTTCTTTGGTACCGTTGAGTGTCACGCAGTGTCTATCTTCTGTGCTTTCCACCCTCCCAGTGGCGAGTTCTGTTTAGAACTGTCCCATGGCTGCTGTACCCACCACACCCCAGGCCCATTCCAGTGACCCTTCCACAGTGTTTTGTGCATAGAATGGGAGAGCTTCCAAAATGTTAGATGGGTAAATAAAGCATCCTGCTTAGTTAGCAACAGCAATATTTATGATGTCTGCCTTCTTCCTATTTCCAAGTTACCTCTCGTGTCCTCAGGTGCTCTTACCATGCAAACATACATACCCTTAACCGAGTGGCTGAGCATTGGTGTGGAGGAACGTCCATGTTCCTGCGTGTTAACGGGGTCAAGCAGTGTTGGTCTTGGTGCCCGGATCAGCAGCCTTGTCCAGTTGCTGACAGAAACAGACTCCCGCTTCCTTTCCAGGTCTTACACAGTCATGAAAGGAGTTGGGAAAGGACCTGAGGGGTTATTTAGGCTAAACCCTTTATATCATAAAAGACAAAACGAGGGTCTGACCAAATTAAGGGATTTACTAATCTCTGGCAGAGCTGAGATAAAAAATTTGCATCTCGTTGAAAGTAATTTCTTCTCTTCGAAATATTTTCAAATTTTATCTAAAATATCCTCATTTCATTGCTATATATGTCCTCAGATAGTTGTCATAATCAGTTACTTCTCAAGAAAACTCTAGAAGCTTTTTAGCTATTTTCCATATGACACATTTCAGAATATTAAGTAAGACATTCTCATGGAGTTACCAAGGTAGGAACATACATGACAAGCCAAAAAGAGGTATCAGAAAAAGAACACTTTTAAAAAGAAGGTATAAGAATAAAGAAAAAAAAAAACATGACTCAAATCTTTCTTGCCTATTCCCCTCCCCCTTCTCCCTTTCCTCCTCCTCTTCAACAGGGTCTCCTATGACCCAGACTGGCCTTGCTATGTAGCCAAGGCCCCTCCTTCCTCCACCCCAAATGCTCTACTTATGAATGTACACCCACCATGCCTGGCTTCCCTGCCTACTTCAAGGTGAGAAGATGCTGGACCTCTGAGGAGATGCTGGACCTCTGAGGAAATGTCTCTTCCCATTCCAGGCTTTATACAGATCAGAAAAGAAGGGGCTCAGTGGTCAAGAGCACAAACTGCTCCTCCACAGGACCCGGGGTTCAATTCCCAGCACCCACATGGTCACTCACAACTGTCTGCAACTCCAGTTCCAGGAGACCTGACACCCGCACACAGACACACAGGCAAAACACTAATGCACACAGAAATAAAAATAAATAAATCATAAAAAGAAGCAAACTGGAAACGGAAATGAAAGATAGCAGGTAGGGCAAAATAAATATTTTCTTTATTACTGAGTGAGACCAAGGTAGAGGTCAGGCTTGGTGTGCCAACACAGAGAAGTGTTGGGCATCCTTTAGGTTTAGGCTTAGCCAGCTTCTTAGAATGGAGCGTCACAACTAAGGCTGCAACCGAGACAGGCCAGGAGGAGGAAGCAAAGGGCTGGGCCGTGTTTTCTATAAGTGGTGCTGGTGTTTACTGAGTGGTGTCGGTTAAGTGTGTGGTAGTTCGTGGACAGGATTCTTCTACCCCTTTCCACAAGCAAACCTCAGCTGAGTAGAGATCTGGAGGGATGGCACGTGAGGGGTCTTTCTCTAAAGACACGCTAGAAGTTCAGTGCCACTCCGGTTTGCCTCCGTGGGGAGGGACAACTAGGCCATGCCAGAGGCTACTGTGTGCTCTCTGTCTGGAAGTTTCCCTGCAAAGACACTTCTTACTCAGGTAACAGCAAAAGAAAGCCAGGTTGGGTGGAATGGGACACGGGAGAAGCTCAGCTGTTGTCCAATAGGGCCACCTAGAGGGGTTGTGAGGCTCCAACATGGGGAAGCTAGAGTTTTCTGCAGAGCTAAGGGATGATGGGAGGCGATGGGAGGGGTGTCAGGTCCGGAAACAGTCATGATGATGGGTGGTCTATGAAGAACCCATGAGATCATCCTACACAAGGAAGGGACAACTTTAATTTGTCATAGTGTCACCCGGAAAGAGAGAAGCCACTGCATGGGATGGTCGGTTAACTCAGATCCTCCTACCTGCGCCCCTAGGTGACCACTATCCATGGTGTGGGGCATAAAGTCGGAGGCAAAGAGGATCAGGCGAGTCCCGTTGCCTGGGTTCCTGGCAGCAGAAGGCCTCATCTGTGCAGATGGAGGGGGGGGGTTCCAATGGAGACTATGGAGACAGAACGTGGCTGTAGGATTTTTTTCGTACTAAGATGGTTAAGTCATAGGACGTTGGAAGAGTTCTTGCAGGAGTCAGAGGGGCGCTGCTCCCCTGCTAAGCACTGTGAAAAGAGGCACCGGGGCGGCCTCATTTGAAAGGATGGCTTTCTCTGTGAGCTGAAAGGCCATTCACTTCACTTTGTTGACTTCCATGTCTCTAAGTAATAAAACTAAGCCTTCGGTGGCTCTGAACTAGGAAGTGTGATGCCTGAACTAGCATTTGGGACAGCAAGTATGCTGATATTCTGACAGGCCAGGGCCTGCTACCTTCTCCTCGGCTGGCACAGTGTGTTTGCAGCGGCACCGGAGCTGGTTCTTGGTTTAGTTGTTAACTCAAGGAGGCAAATGCTAAGTGCAGAGTATGCGTAGTTAGTGATGACTCGGAGTTACACCAGCAGGCAGCACTGCTGTTGGTAAATAGTGAAATATATTAAAAGCCTTGAACCAGCTCTGCCCAGTGCTAGTAGAGGAGGCTCTCTTGAGCTCCTGTCAGCATCCCTGGTACCCTTGGTCATTTGGTTGGAATAGTGTCTCTCCATGGAACATTAATGATCCCAAGGCTGCTGTAAGACATTTCTCTATTCTATGGGAGGTGATTGAAAACTGCCAATCATGAAGCTGGCAGTCCCTGCTCATGAGCCTAAAGACTGTTCTGATTACGATAATTACATTTTTATGAATATCCTACCTAGAGAGTAACAATTTTACCATGTCAGGCTACACCACACAAAGATGCATCAATTTCATCTGCAATGAAAAATAGAGCCTAATAGCTCAGTTATATTTATGACAGTCGGCATCAAGATGCAGCACAACCGCTTCAACGGAGAGAATCCTGATCATTATTTAACCCCGAGATGATTAAGGGTGCAGGCTTGTCAGCTTTTCTCATGATTTTTGCTGTTTTGATTTGATTTTTAAAAATCCATAATTAACATCTATTAACATTTTGGATTCTACTAGAAGCGCCGTGATACGTGGGTAAAGGGAAAACAACAACAAAGAAAGACGAGCAAATGAGACTAATGGTCAGAGAGAGCCAGGATGGATGGGGTGGTTGTGAGGTGTAATTACGCTCCGAGCACAGCAACGCCAGACCGACTGGTTTTCTCCTTTAACCGGCTAAGCTGGTGGAAATTGTGGACAACAGTCATTAAATGTGAATATAGCCGTTTAATTATTACATTCAGTGAGCGTTTAGGGTACTAGACAGGATCATTGAAGGTGCTTCATACTGGCTAGTCCATTGTTGCTGGTGACGGGCAAGGGTGTTATGCTGTGATAACCTTCGTGTCAAAAGACTTACACCACCCCAACCCCTGGTGAACATTACCCTTTAGAACTGGACCATTTCCTTCCAGCCATCTTGTTTTTTTGTTTTTGTTTTTAACACCGTCTTGTGAGTAGCCCACACTCCTGATTCGCCCGTCTCTACCTCCTAAATGGCTAAAGTCACAAGGGTGCTAGTTCTGACATTAGACATTTTGATCATTCTTGCATGTAAACAGTGCATGTGGGTGAGTATGAGCACACACATGTCACAATCTAAGTATGTGTATAGAAGCCAGGCTTTCAGGACACCGTTCTGGGTGTCCCCCTAGTTGCCAGGCTCTTGAGGTAAGTTCCTTTTTTCCTCTGTGGTAGTTTGAATGAGACTGGTCCCCATAGGCTCGTATATTTAAATACTTAGTCCCCAGTTGGTTTAGGTGTTGGTGAAGGCCTAGGAGGTGTGGCCTTGACTAAGGAGGTGTGTTACTGGGGGTGGGCTCCAGTGTTTCAAAAGCCCATGCCATTCCCAATCTGTGGTCTCTTTGTTGTTTTAACATATAAGCTCTTGAAGCTGGGCAGTGGTGGCACACGCCTTTAATCCCAGCACTCGGGAGGCAGAGGTAGGTGGATCTCTGAGTTCAAGGCCAGCCTAGTCTACAAGAGCTAGTTCCAGGACAGGCTCCAAAGCTACACAAAGAAACCAAACAAACAAAACAACAAAATTTTAACATCTAAGTTCTCAGCTACTGCTTCAAAAACATACTGGCTGCCTGCTGCCATGCTCCTGTTCCAATGGACTCACCCTCTGAGACTGTGTGAACAAGCCTCCAATTAAATGCTCTCTTTTATAAGTTGCCTTGGTCATGGTGTCTCTTCACAGCAATAGAAAAGGAACCAAGACACCCTCTCAACCATCTCACCACCCCGATATTACTTTTAAGGTGGCTGTTTTAGAGACAACATCACCCACCCAATGAGTCAGCACACGGGGGCTGCGTGCAGCGTGGGGAGTGGATATGACAAAGAGCGAGGCTATCATGGTGGTTTGGTTTCATGTTATTTCAGATCTCTTCTAGATCGGAATGTTGTTTTAAAGATGCAAGGCAAGGGTAAAAACCCAAGGACAGTGACTCTGAAACCTGAATGTGTGATACCCTTGAAGCTTGATCCTGGAGTTCTGAGGACTTTTGTTTTGGTGAGTCCCAGGTGACTCCAGCAGCTGCATTTGAGAAGCTCTTCAGTGCTCCTGGGGCAGGGAGGGCTTCTTATCTAGCACTGTGGAAGCTGCAGCTAGGCCAGGGCGGTGAGGCCAACCACGTGAGCGTGACCCAACAGGGCTCAGCCCAGCTTCACAGGACTCAGAGCAGTGGCGGACCCTGCCTAGTTCTGGGGTTACAGGCTTGCTCCAAAGACTCCCTGAGGCATCGGTATGTGTAATACAGACCCTCACTTCCTCAGCTTCTCTGACCTTAATGTTCTAATTATTGAAACAGTGCTCAGCCAGTAATATTTGCCAAACAAGTTAGGACAATTATGATGAAAAGTGCCAGGAAACAGTATGACTGAAAAGGTCAGAGCAGTGCAATGCACCCTCCTCCCTTGTAGTACTGGGGACTGAACTTAGGGTTTGGTATATATAGC